GGGGCGGGAAGGGGGCACTGACAGGTGCTCATTCTGCGTGAAGTAATGCACCCAGTGGACTTGCAATACTTCGCGCAGCGCTCGCAGCGGCAGTAGCAGTGAGCTGGGAGTGCCGTGCTGGCGCAGGACGCGGGCTGCATTTGTAAAAGTTGAAAACACGCGAAATGAAAAGGGAAATAAAGATAACAACAAAATAAAAGTGGGGAGCAGAAGAAATCAACCCAGGCGCCACCGTGCTGCTGTGCCGCGAGTACTTATTGTTCTTGAGAGACACGCGGGTCGCGGGTGGGGCGGAAGGTGGGGGAGGGGGGAGGGGACCCGGGACCCACACAGCCGAGGCAGTCGAGACGGAGGGATGAAATGCAGAGACGGGCTGCCGAAGACGTTTGTGGGGTCTCGCGGGAGCGGCGGCAGGGCGCCCACCACCAGCGCCAGCCTGGCCCGCGACCCGCCGGCGCTGCTGCACATCAGCTAGTGTACCCCCCGCTCCTCCTCCCCCACGCAGGGAACCACAGGGCACCCGCGAGGCTGCGCGACCAGACACAGCGAGGTAAGGACAAAATCTATTATTTTCGGATGATTACTGCTGATTCACCCCTGGACTGCAACGAATCATACTACTTCCACGGATTACTCCGAATTACCCTTCACTACTCTGAATATTACCCCTTGATTATACTCGCGCTGTACCCCTCGGGCTACACTGGATGTAAGCCTGTAGTTATCTTTCATGTACTACATTTTCCATTACTGATGGATTACGCAAGTCGATTCCGCCTCGACCGAAAGACCAGGGGAAGTGGCGAGGAGCGAAGACTCACCAGGGTAGCGACGCAAGAACCCGGTGGCGCTGCCGAAGTACTGCCAGGACAGTGTGGGGTCCGTCTCATAGTTGTTGATGTACAGAGCGTCAAGCAGCTCGGACCAGACCATGCTGTTAGCCACCGAGGGATCTACAAGAGATGGGTCATTGTGACATTTCAGAAAAATACACAAGACTGAAGCACTTGTGGGTGAGGCGGGTGAACTGACCTCTCTCGCTGACGTCCTGGGCCAGCATGGTGCTGCTGCGGTTCGTGTTGACGGGCAGATGGTCAAAGTGGCGGGACGTCCGCATGCCGTCCCGGCGGCCCTGGTTGTTGAAACTGTCGGGCGACCATACCGTCGCGAACCCGTCCTTCAGCTCCATCTTGTGGGACAGAGCGGCCTGCTCCGCAGAATCCATAATCCTCTGCAACAACAAAAAGGTGTTCGTTTTTTGTAAAATAGGCAAGAGATAAGAGCAGACAGAATCTTTGTGTTTGTTAAATCTGCTAGATAATGTGTGAACTTCCATCGCCCGTGCTGTGGACCGTGCTCTCATCAAGAGAGGGAAATGACATAATCGGACATAATAACTGTTCGGCAATTCTATTCGACCCCATTGATCGGGGGCCCTCAAAAGTCCCGCCATCGGCAGGGCTTACCCCGTGGCTCTAGCCTTAGCCCCCACCCCCACCCCCACCAAACAACCCTGAGGCGAGGTTAGTACCGAAATAGACCGCCACGACGCCCCACGCCCAGTGCCGCCCGCCGCCCCGAGGGTCGCCCCACCGCAGCCGGCCAGGCTCGCTGGACACACACAGCCTAACGCCGATTGCCCAAGTCCCCTTCACTGTAAATGCTAGAGTCACATATCATGCTCTAGAGTAGAGCGAGATCAATGGCCTTAAAAGCCTAGCTCTCCGGAGAGCAAGATTACTTTTCTCACTCCATTTGAGTCATAATTTACGATCGTAGGCCAATGTCAGTGTGGTTCCTCACTACAATTGGGCGAGGTAAGGAAAATTTCTCTCCCTAAGAGAGAGAGAATCCGGTAATGACTCATAACAGGGCGGGCCAAAAAGTTACTCGCAGTGATTGGGCGAGGAAAAGCTGTTTCACTCATTTCAAACATGATACCTCACTCAAGGGTTTGCAGTGTTCCCCTCACCGGTTCCTCACGATGCATTCGCAGCTCGTCTGGACCTTACAACTCTCACTTCAGCTCATATGGGAAAGCGTCTCCCACTTCAGATATTGCGACAGGTGAGACGTGCATGCACGCCTTCAGAACTTGGATCTGAAGTACTGTCCAAAATGTTTCGTTTGGCCTCAGTGTCCCGTTGCGGTGAGATAACAGATAGGGCGGAGCGAGAGAGCGAGAAGCTGCACCCGGACGCTGGCACGCAAAAATGTAGAAAAGTCGCGGGCAGTAAATTTTTCTCGGTGTCCTTTGCCGTCACAGTTCGCTAGTCTGCTTGGTCTTTGTCTCTCCCTCCCCCCTCTCTCTTCCCATATCTCTCTCTCCCCGTCTCGCTCACTCTAGGGCGGTGCAGGCGGACCCGCCGGTGCAGAGCGGAGCGTGGCGTGGCGTGGCGACTGCAGAAAACAGGGAGCAATATTGCAGCGGTCTGTGTATGGGGCGCGACGGGGGCAAAAAGGGAAGGGGCAGGGG